AGGTTTCGTAGGCTTCATGCCTTTGTTGGTGAATTCTTTTTATTTTAGGCATTGAAGGCTTAATATTATTGTATTAAAATAAATATATTGGTCGCTACAATCATATATTTATTTGATGGTTCAAATCATGTTGACTCCTATTGGTCTGTATCGAAGGATTATGTTCGAATTTGAATTCACTTATTAACCCGCGCAGCATCCCTATGCTCCACATGTGTTCCTATAACATGCTTGTCGGGGCCCATACGGGTGTTTGGGGGCATTTCCATTTGTTGATTTAATCCTGTCGGCTCTATCGGTTTACTGACAGAGGATTGAGTTTCGTAAGCTTCATACCTTTGTTGGTGATTTCTTTTGATTTTAGGCCTTGAAGGCCTAATATGAAGGTATTTAAAATAAATATATCGGTCAATGTTTAAAATTGCGTATTCGGGTATTGAGGCGTTTTTCATTCGTGAGGCGAGGCGTGAGCCTCAAGGCGTTTTGAGGCGTAAGCCTCAAAATGAAAAGATTGCTTAAACATTAAAATGATAATTTTTTTATATACTAATGAGTGAATAATATAAAACATAAAAAAGCATAAGATATGAAGTAAAATCAAAATATCCCAATAATAAGACAACATGAAATATAGTTTAACTCAAAATTCTATCTTTCCCAAATCCCAGTATTCTTTTCATTAACATATAATTCCGATTTCTAAAAATAAATAGCAATGACATATCACATAAGAACTCATAAATCATTAGCACTGTCATCACTAAGGGGTTCTTCATTTGAATCATTATTATGATGAACTGCTCTCTCCTCTTCCTCCTCTTCTATAGAGTCCAATGTCGGGCATTTACTTCAAGATTTATGTAAGTTTTAATATATATAGCGTGAGGCGTAAGCCTCATGCCAGTGAGGCGAGGCGAGCCTTAAGGCGGGCCTCAACCAAGTTGAGGTGCAAGCCTCATAACAAAAGCTCGAGGCGTAAGCATCGAGGCGTTTTTTACTAAAATTGCGCAAAAGCGGGCCTCAAGGCGAGCCTCATATTGCGCAATTTTAAACTATGATATCGGTCGCCACAATCGTATATTTATTTAATGATTCGTACCATATCGACTCCTATTGATCTGTATAGAAAGATTATGTTCGAACTTGAATTCATTTATTAATTCGCGCAGCATCCCTAGGCATCACATGTGTTCCTATAACATGCTCGCCGGGGCCCATGCGGGTGTTTTATTGCATACCCCCTTTTAGTTTACCTACGTGTATACAAACTATAGTGCATGTGTGGGGGTATTTTGGATATTTGGCTGATCTTTCACAGTAGCTTGTAGAAACTCGTGCTTAGTCTGTTTGTATTTTGCTTGTGGAATACACATTGAATACATGGTAGAGCAGCTTGTAGGAGCCTGTGCTCGTTGTGCATTTGCCTATAGGTAACATACTGAGTATATGGCGGGTCTTCTATAAAGGCCCATAGATATTTGCATTTGTCGCCAAATACTCTCCTTTTACCTGTAGGGATATGTATGTTTGTTCTCGTTAGGTAGTAGTTGCTTGTAGGAGTACTGTTGATATACCACCCTTGCCTTTAGATGATATCTAATATGTATATCTATGCTCGCGGATAATTTATCACTTCTGCAACATGTCTGCTATCACTGATTGTAAGGGTTTTTGTATCTTCTCACAAGATTTGTGCAAACAATACACATTAACTGTTGGCAGATTATGCTTCATATAGTTGCTTCTAGTATTTCTTGGATTGTGGACGATGCATCGTATATATCATAATCCTGTTATGTGATTTCATCACTAAACTGTTGCATTCGATGAAGGCTCCTTTATTTGTATTTTTATGTTGAACACAGAGCATTGCTACATTTATTGTATCTTTGTCTTATATTGTACAAGATAGATTTATTCTTAAGCTTCATTGTCTGCAAGGTCTGGTATATTTGCTTGTATGTTGATGGGTCTCCTACAACAGTTCTTAAGAGATTAATATAAATGTTGCAATCAATCAATTATGGTTCTTCCATGGTTTACAATGCCTATTTGTTTAAACTTATCATCATAATGCATGCCATCACTAATCAACATTGAAGTTCCATTCTGCATAAGCCCTTTTGCTTGTAGGGTTCAATACGTTTAACTGCATTTTGATCTTATGTTTGTAACAAATAGGCATGATTGTTTGCATGTAGATGAGCCATGTTGAATGTTACAAGTCTTCCACTGTCATATAAAGATGACTTAAGTCTTGCATGATGGATTTGCTTGATGATATTTGCATTCCAATTGAAGTGAAAACATGATATTATGGGTTATAAGCATGTTGTTGCATATTTTACTTAATCCTCATTTGCATGTCGATTATGCCCAGACATCTTCATCCACGAGTCCTCTGCTGTTCAAATCTTGTTCAAGTTCCACTTGATGTTGTACAATTCAAGTTCAATGTCCACTATAGTCCAACTCAAGTATTTGCTTAAGTTTAAATGTCCAAGTCATGTCCTTGTTCACTTCAATTTGAATATTCAAAAGTCCACTGTGGTTCGAAGTTGATTCAAGTTTGATTTCAGTTCAATTTAAGCCTCTTGCATATTTTTTATTTGGGTTCAACTACTTATTAAGTCACTTAGATTTTGTTCAAAAGTCCAAGTACAAGTCCCCCATGTTCACCCGAAATTTTGGCAGCCTCCCAGCGTCTCCTCCGTTTAGGGGAAAACTACGAGAAACTGGATCTTCCCACCACGCGCAATAAAGGCATGTATGGGGTCTTTGACGATATCTATTTAAAAAGACAGTTTGCTTTCCCCTTGCTTGAGGTTACTTATGAATAACTCCACCTCGTCATAGGTGTCACATCAGGGTCCCATCCCACCACGTGCAATAAAGACGTGTATAGGCGGTTTTTCGGTGCACCGCGAACTCCGAAATGGAGTTTTTAGGTGATTACCCGCCTCGTCGTAGGCGTCGCACCGAGGTCCCATCTCACCACGCGCAATAAAGGCGTGTATAGGCGGTTTTTCGGTGTGATGCCTATACAACAAGCAGAAGGGACGTCGCCGAAGGAAGCATTCCCCTAATTTAGTTATCTTATTTTAGGAAAGTATTCAAATCAAACCTATTTCAAATTTAAATAGGATTTGATTTAAATATTCCTCCCTAATTTAAGGTTCGTCACTTGACAAGCATTTAAATCTCTCTCCATAAACTCCCAAGTCCCTCTTAATGCCGCTGCCCCCCCCCCCCCTAGTTATTTAATTCTTTAATTGGATATCCAATTATGGGATTTAATTAACCACCCCCTTTTTCTCATTTAATTTTAATTCCAATTTTCAAACCCCCCACCCCATTGGTGCTGCATCAGTTTGGTATCAGAGCATGGTTGCTCACTCGGGATGCGGACTCGATGGAGTCGAGCTCTTTTTCACCCCAGGAGAATCATGCGGACATCCGACAGTGGACGTTAATCAAAGAAAGAGACGAAGATCGACGGCCGAGATCCCTCCATTTTTATCTTAGTTTATTAATTGTATTTTTGATTTAATTATGTATTTTTCATTTTTACCTAAGCTAAAGGGTCTTGTCTTATGTAAGCCCAAGGGGCAAAGTTGTCTTTTAGTTTCTTTTAAAGCCTATGTATAGAGGCCCTTGCTCTTATATTAGACAATGATGGATTATGAATAAAAAAAAAGGTTTGCACTTGTGTTATTTGGAGAGAACTTGGGTGAGATTTCTATGGGAGAGAATCGGAACTTCCACCAGCCGCAGGATGGGTCCGGGCTCGTAGCTTGAAGTCCCTTTGAGAAGAGCAACGTATTACCCGTCAGCTGTAGGATGAGTCCGGGCTCACAGTTGTATATTTCTTTCCCTAAATCCTTATCTCCTCCTTAATCGCAGGCCAAAAATCCCCCACTTGCCACCGGCCAATTCTCCCACAAACCCCTCCAAAGCCACAAGCCTCCTCCACTTTATCCATATCAACCGCTGGCCATAACCCCTCCACCTCCCTAGCTAGTCGACCACCTCACCCCTAGCCTCTTCCCTCCTTCATTCCCCTTCGTTTTTCTAAATTAGATTGAAGATAATTTGAAACGAATTTTAAATTCAAATTCAATTAGTTTGAATTTCAAAAACTTTCCTAAATTACTAGATCTATTTTTGGAAAATTCTTCAAATCAAATTCCAATCAATTTGGAATTGTATTTGATTAAATCCTTTATCCCTTAATTGAAAACTTGATTAATTTACTTTTACTTTTCCTCCCATAATCGGCCCCTTCTCTCTCTACCCGCCTCCCCTTCCCCTTTTGCTCTTGATTGGAGTCAATCTTGCTTGATAGCCTTCTTTCCTATTGTGGATGTGTTTTAATATGGAAAGCATTTGAATTTAAATTCAAATGTATTTAAATTTCAAATCTTTTCCCTATTTTAGTTATCTTATTTTAGGAAAGTATTCAAATCAAACCTATTTCAAATTCAAATAGGATTTGATTTAAATATTCCTCCCTAATTTAAGGTTCCCCACTTGGCAAGCATTTAAATCTCTTTCCATAAACTCCCAAGCCCCTCTTAATGCCGCCGGCCCTTCCCCCCTTAGTTATTTAATTTCTTAATTGGATATCCAATTATGGGATTTAATTAACCACCCCCCTTTTTCTCATTTAATTTTAATTCCAATTTTCAAATCCTCTACCCCCCCCCCCCCCAATCCCATCCGTGCTGCATCGAGTAATGTTTCACCAACCATGCTAACTATTTCATTACTGGATGAGATGATTCAAAACAAAAAGCTGAACATAGATAGAAGTTATTTGGAATAATTTGCCAAGTCTAGGTTCAAAAAAGGGTTGACCTAAGGTGAAATGGATAGAAGATGTTCAAAATGAGTAGGATTAACATAGAAAGGGAAAAATCATACTCATGAAAAGTAATTCTAGTTTGAGTACTATCTTTATTCATGAAGAAAGTTCATTTTTTCTTCTTTCCTCATTGCAGGTTCTGAATTTATCACTTGCTGCGTTGGTATCGTTGATGTGGCTTAGGAAGAACAAACCCAAAACTGTAATCCCAATTATTTATGCCTGTGCTGTCATACTTGCGTCAATGCCATCCACTGTCAGGTTTTCTTCTAATCTCTTTCTTTAAATATGTTGTATGAGCTACTCAAAATTTCGGTTATAATTAGTAATTGATGGATTCAATTTTTTACTTTTGATGGTGTCTTGTGAAGAAAATTAAGAATTTTTGTTGTTGTTAAACTCTCCACTTTGCATGCTTTTGTTTTTGTAAAAACTGATATCTTTAAGAAACAACTTATTCCCCTGGTTTCTTAGTTTGACATGCAAATTATGATTTTCATAAAAAAATGGCAACTAGAAGTTTCTTTAGTAGTGCAGTAAAGTAGTTAAAGTACTTTCTTGCAGTAGTTGGGAAACTGCTTAAAATCCTTTATATGTGATGGCCTGGAGCTGTACATTGATTTTTGATGTGGTGCTTTACATCGATTGCGTAGATAATGTTTTCTTACATTTTATTTTACCTCTGTTTCTGTTTTTTTTCCCCTAAAAATGATTGTGGTGCAAAGTAGAGGGATTTATTATTATAAAGGATTTGCATATTAATCTAGTTTCAGGAGGGGGAATAGCCCTTAAATTTTGGCTGGCAATAATTATTTTGCTTTATAGTTCCCTAAGAGGCTGTTTGGAAAAGCAGTAGATCTAAATAAAGGGTCCATTTGGGATGTCTTTTGGTTTCTTTGCTTTAAGAAACACAATTATGTAATTTATTTAGGAGCTTTTTTTATGAGTTTTGGAAATTTTTGCTTCCCTAACATTATTTTTCACAACGGTTGGAAGCTTCTCTGATTTGCTATGAGTATTTATGTTTATATTCCTTGCTCAATTTGAAGGTACAAAATATGCTGGTGAAGATATCTCAAAATCACTGTTAACTCAACTAGAAGCAAACACTGAGCTTAACCTCAATTGATTCTACAAGAAAAACAACACATGGAATGAAAAACTCAATTTTGTCCCTCTATCAAATAGTTCCATCCATCTCACTTTATAACCCCATTCAGTAATGGTAACAATCCAGTTAGTGCACTTATAAACTTAACCAACTACTTTCCAAGTTTCCTTGTATTTGCCTGGTCACAGAATCCAGCTGTTCATCAAGCAGCTATTTGCAGCCGCTTCTCTGCCACATGCCTATGTGGATTTCTCTATGCAGTCAAATGCCAAGTTCGTTGGCTAACCTCTAGAGAAACAATATAGTGCATCTTCTAGCATATCGGCTATTGTAATAACCACAATTGCTGCTGTATCTTCTTGGTGGGATGTTCATGGGCTATTGCCATCTCCTTCTCAGCCAAATCATGCATTTACACAAGTAATGGTGTAAGACAAAGAGTCGGCCCAAGTTCAGGAAGATTATATTGACTAAATAAAATTTTAGCTAAACTCAAAAGCAGAAGACAGTAGCCCGGAGGAGGAATGACAAATTGTCCCTGAGATGCATTAGGCCTTGTGAGGTTTTCAAGCGCATTGGAGTTGTTGTCTATTGACTGGGATTACCACCTTTGTTAGTATTACACCAAGTATTTCATGCGATAGGAGATCATTCACCATCATCACTACCCCCGACTTTGATAGAATACATGGAGGTCATTTTGGAGCCCCTGGAAGTTAAAGGGGTATGACAAGGGGAGACAGTAGCACGGGAGGTAAATGTTAAAGGACATTGCTTTAACGCCTCACAATCAATAACCTTCTTAAACCACCTTAGAAAGTATGGATTTGGATATAGGGTAGTGATCAATACAACTTTTATAACCAAGGTTAAGATTTTTCCCACTAATGGTGTCACGACCCAGCCCGGATACTCGAATTATTAAGGCGGGAACGAATAGTCGGGCGGTGATAATATTTTTTTTATTTCAAAACAGTTTATCATCTACATTCCAATTAAAATATTGAAAAGTCACTAATACAATTTTCACATACTTAATATTTACATAAATCACAGCTTATATGTTTTCATTTGAGCATCGTCTTCTTTTGACATATTCCTCTCCATTGCTCCTTTAGATAAGGGTGGTCTCATATCCCAGAACAAATTTAAATATTTATCCAAAGTCATATTACCACCACTACTATTCGATGATTGATTTGTTGAATCTTGCATTAATTGAGTCATAGTTGTCATCATTTGTGTCAGTGTATCTGGGTTGACAATAATAGTAGGCACTACTCTTTTTAACAATAATATTAGGCACTGCTTTTTTTACATATTCAAGATCAATCTGGATCCTGAAATACAATCAAAATCTCTTATAAATTCATAATCTATCATTAATTCAGCTTTAATAATCAACCTGGCTCTTTCAGTATGATTCATATCCTAATTGGGCTCTGATACTACTTTTGTCATGATCCTGCCCGAATACTCAAATTAATGAAGCAGGAATGAATAGTCGGATGGTGATAATATTTCTTTTATTTCAAAAAAGTTTATCTACATTCCAATTTAAAAATTGAAGAGTCACTAATACAATTTTCACATACTTAACGTTTACATAAATCACATCTTATCTATTTTTATTTGAGCGTCGTATTCGATAGACATATTCCTCTCCTGGTATCAGAGCTGTTCCAGGATATAAGACCACCCCTATTTAAAGGAGTAGAGGAACCAATTGAGGAAGAAAAATGGTTTATGAGGATTGAGAAAATTTTAAAGATAATGTGCTGTCTAGAGGAGAGAAAAGTTTCATTAGCAATCTTTGTACTTGATGGTGAAGCTAAAAGGTGGTTGAGGGGTCAGAACCAAGATAAATTTGGAGGTGTACCTAGTATGCAAATCAAATGGGATGACTTTACTCAGGTGTTCAAAGACTGGTTTGTGCCTCTTTCTACGAGGAGACAGATGCAGGATAAGTTTCTAAGACTAGTACAGGGAGATAGCTAACACTATCCAGATATGCTCCTTAGTTAATTTATACTATAGAAGAAAAATGTCATTGATTCTTATTCGGATTGAAAGATACAATTAGGCAGCCCCTTGTTCCTCTAAGGATTGATGATTATTCTGTATTGGTGGAGAGAGCTAAGAGGGTAAAAATGGACATACAAAATACCCAAAGAAGACGTGAATTTCAAAAGAGAAAGAGTGGTGGTAGTCAATCTACTCCATAATCGGGGAAGTTTAATTGGAAGAAAATAAAGCCCAGTAGTAGTGGTAGTCAAATGAGCATGAATAATTGCAGCAAGTGTGGAAAACAACGCGAGAGAGAATGTTTATCTGGGACATACATTTTCTTTTGGTGTCATCAACCAGGTCACATAGTCAAGAACTGCCCCAACTAGGGCAAAGACCATTAGGAGAATCAAGGATGAATGTTGGACTTAAGAGAAATGTTGTGCACTGGGTATCATTAGTTGTGTATTAAGGAGGATGATATTGCTAAGGATGCTTTCAGAATAACATATGGTCATTATGAGCTTGTTGCAGTGCCATATGATCATTATGAGTTTCTAGTTAATGACATTTGATAGATATCAAGTCATGCTATTAAATCAACTGGTGATTCAATCCACTTTGAAGGATAGAATATACAATTCATTGTCTCAAGATGTAAAATTTCAAGAAATCATAAAGAAAATGCAAGCAGGACAATTAGAGAATTTTGTATTTGATGATGAATGATTGTTAAAGTATAAAGACAGAATATGTATTCCAAATGATGTCAATTTAAGGGAAGAAATATTGCAGGAAGCTCACTTCTTTGGTTATGAAATTCATTCAGGTAGTACAAAGATGTATCAAGAACTGAGTGGGGTATTTTGGTGGCCAAGATTGAAAAGATGTGTTGTAGAATTTATGGGGAAATGTATTTCCTGTCAAATGGTTAAAGTTGAACATCAAAATCCTGGTGGTCAATTGTAGCCTTTAGTAATAGCTGAATGGAAATGAGAAGAAATTACAATGGATTTTATAATTGGATTGCCCAAGTTATGCCAGAGTCGGGATATTATATGGGTTATTATATATAGATTAATCAAGTTAGCTCATTTCTCACCAATCAAACAAGATAGATTTAGGGGAAAAAATTGGCAAATGTGTATGTTGATGAAATTGTGATTGCATGAAATTCCAAAATCAATAGTCTCTGATAGAGTTGCTTGATTCTCTTCTAGACTTTAGAAAAAGATTCAGGAAGCCCTGGGTATGAGATTGACTTTCAGCACTGCATTCCACCCTCAGACATATGTACATGTTGGTGAAATTTGGGAGTCTCATATACCATTAATTGAATTTGCATATAATAACAGCTTTCAATCCAGTATCAGAATGGCACCATACGAAATTTTTTATGGAAGGAAGTGTAGAACACACTTGTATTGGGTAGAAGCATGTGAAAGAAAAATAATTGGTATTGAACTGGTGGATGATTCTACTAGTAAAATCAGATTGATCAAAGATAGATTAAAAGCAATACATGATACGCAAAGGAAATATTATGATGCAAAGTACAGGCCAATTGAGTTTGAAGTGAGAGAGTTTTTTTTTTCATTAAACTCAGTATAATGAAGGGTATGCAGCTATTTGGAATGACAGGAAAGTTGATCCCACAATTGTTAGGTCATTTTGAAATTTTTAAGAGGATAGGAAATATGGCTTATAGATTGAATCTGCCAGTACATATGCATGGGATACACAATGTGTTTCACATATTAGTACTTCATAAGTATGTATCAGATGAGTCAAAGAGAATACAGTCAAAATAAATTAACTTGTAGCCTGATTTGAAATATATTGAAGAACATGAAAAAATACTGGAATATGAAGTGTCAATGGGAGGTGGAAGCTAGAACAAAGCTAATAGCTGGATGAGTTCAGTGGCTTGCAATTATTACATCGACAACTCCAATTCTGAGGTATATGCAACCCTTGTTTCTGGATTATACCTTGTCAGCAACCGAGATTTAAGTCACCCTCTGGCCAAACAAAATGATAATGTCCTATGTAGCGGCTGTCAAATTGCATTGCATTGCGCACATTTTACAAGCCAACATTTTTTGTAATCTCTGCTTGTATCTAGGTTTTTTTTTTTTATATATTTTTTATTTTTTATTTTTTGTGCTTGTAACTAGGTTTATTTATTTGAAATGCAAGGTTCTTTGAGTAAAATTCTTCCATTTTATAGCCTCGCCAAGAAGAAAGCTTTCCTAGCCATCACATACATGTTGTGGGTGTTAGTCATCCTGTATTTTTTTCCCTATTTTCATGTGAGTGGATTTAGTAAGTTATTTGTTCGTTATTCTTAGGCTTCGTTTGTGACAGTTTTTTTGTTGCTTTCTAAAACAGCTTTCTAGTATAAAAATTTATCGAATTAGAAAATTTTATACTAGGAAGCCGTTTAGGAATCAATATGAAAGCTGCCTCAAACGAAGCCTTAGTCTGCTTTTCTTAAAATGCTAATGATTCTATGATCTTTTGAAGCTGGTTATCCTTTGTCACTGAAATCTTTCTTTGACTCGTGAATCTGCCTGTTCTTTGATTGAATGTATAATGACTGTCATGCATTCTCTACAGCTATTTGAGAAAGGCGCTGGGGTGGCAACCTCTGAAAGTCGTAGGATTTGAGCTAACCTCATCGCTGGTGATGGCTTTTATTAGTTGGCAGCTTTATTACGCATGTCAGCGACAAGTATGATAAACTAAAAGTTTCAAAGAAACTGAATAATTCCTGTCGGGGAAAGACAATTCAGATCAGGAGGAGCAATCGCTTTCCATGCTCTGGTATTGATTAAATGGGTTGAGAAATGATTGGTGATAAGCTTTTTTGTTACTTATTTTTGGCTGTTTCCTATGCCTATTCCCATTGCTGAGACTAGCAATCTATCTATTATTTCTTTCTGGTTGTGAACTCTACGGCTCTGTTGAAACCTTAAAAAGCCCCAATGATATGCAATTTGTCAAAATTTTGTTCACTCAACTCTCTAGGTAATGTGTATAAATTATGGGCTTGTTCATAACTATTTACATATTTCTCAATAGTATACAAAATATTTATGAACGCTCTCTCTCTGCTGGGAGAAATTATTACGAGCAGACATCGGACGTAGAGTTATGTAGACTCCAATAAAAATATGACGTGTGGACTGCTAGTGTATTACAATGTATTATTAGATGTTATTGTGCATTTAGTTATGTATTATTTTGTATTAGGTAGTACACAATAATACACAATTAATGCATATTAATACAAACCAATATTGTTGTGTATTGGTGTGTATTAATTGTGTATTAGTGTTCTTGCTAGTATACAGTAATATTCAGTTCACACGTCATATTTTTATTGGAGTCTGGATGTAGCTTCTACGTTCGGTGTCCGCACGTAATAATTTATCCTTTGCTGGAGTGTCACATTATCCTGCCAGAAGAGGCATTGTTTTTTCCTTCATACCATAGACTACTTCTATGAATGATTGGGGGATAAATGTCACTAATTAGCACAAATTCAATTGGTTTATTTTCCTTTCAGGATATCCAATTTTGTTGTTTGCAAATATAAATTATATTTTAATTTTTTTTTTTTTTGATTTGGAACAAGTTTGGCTCATGTTTGAGCATTGATTAAAGTTTATTTAAAGCTTGTTTGTATTTTGGAACTAGAGCTGAATAATAGTTGAAGAAGTTTTGATCAGTATATTTTTTGTAAAATATAACAACTAGTTTCATTTAATATAATGATTCTTATTAAAATGTTATTCTCTATTATATCAGCTTTATAATCTATAATGTTATTTATTGTGATTATATTCAACTATATTACACTCTATTATTATTATATAACAAGTTTGTACCTTGTTCAAAAATTACATAAATCATATTTTAATTATAATTCAACTATTATGTGAAATTTTATAATAATATTTTATTCAAACCTAATTAAAATCATGTTTAAAATTTGATCAAAAAATATTTTGAATAAAATTAAAAGTTATTCAATTAGAGTTTGAATAATGTTTGAACATGGATCAAAATTTTCATTGTGTATGGGTCAAACTTAATTAAATTTTGTTCGATTTTTATTTGAATGTTGATTAAATCAATCCTGGTCATAATAGATTTAAAAAAAAAAAATAGCTCAATGTTTAGAGTTGGGGTATTTTAATCAAAATAAAATTTTCGGTATATTTTTCAGTAAGTAAAAAAATATGTAAGTTTTTTTTTTTTTAATTTTGAGCATTATATATATAGCATATAAAGTCAAATTTACGTCATTCACATAGTTAGGCTATTCTTTATTATATACAATTTTCCAATTTAATTTAATCATTAGCTTCTTTTGGGGGTATCAACATCTTGGTATTCTATTGTAAACAAAAGTGTACAACCTCATATGTGGTATATGAAATTCGTAGGGATCAGAGGAGCTTGGTAAGAGGTGCACTTGTTAAAGATATTTCTCGCTCGAAGAGAAAGTAGCCCTGACAATATCCAACAAAGGAAGGCACTTGCCCTAGAGGTACTCGATCAAAGAATCACACATTCTAAACAATTTTGATTGAGTGAAGAATTACCTTCAACATACCTCAATCAAACGAGGTACTAATCGTATAAGAATTCACCTAAAAGGAAAACTCTCATTAACCAAGTAAAATCATCCTACATATTGTGTATTATTAAAATTATATGAGAAAGGGACATGTCACTCAAGCTAATCCCCAACTCAAAAGAACTTACAAGAGGCGCTCACTCATAATATTAGCTATAGGTACTCGTACAAGAAGTACTCATCAAGAATATTCTACACAAGTTTAAAATTTTAGCGGAAGTTTAAACAAGACATCACCAAAGCATGCCTCCCAACTTATATGTATAACTGTATGGGTGATGCCACACCCACAATTTTTACTCACTTCTAAAGCAAAGCATTACATGGAGTCCTGGTTGGGTATCCATGCTCAGCGCAAGCAGACTTCGCCCACTCACACCCATCTATGGTGATTTTCAAGATGTCATACCAACCTATACCCATACACTTTTCATGCTTTTTGAATACAGTCTGCCACGAACTAATGGCCTTGAGACTTATTTCCCTTTGCTCTGATTGCAAACTTTCAAACCGCATATCAGAATTTACTATGATCACAGCACGGTTCATGGCTGCACACTATGTAGTGAGGATTACAGTAATATAAGGCATACAGTGTTTGACAATATAAATCGATTTATCCCCTCATGTTAAATACCCAACCATGCATATCCACCCACAAGGCCATGAGTGTACTCATACCCGTACATGAGTGGGTATGGATATGGGTACGTAATGTTGGGCTCTATTATAAAGATGTTAATTAACTTCTTGTTGAGATATGTCAGCTCCTCAAGAATGCAAGAGATTTGTAAAAGAACACAAACTCCTAATTAGAGAATAGTCTTTGTGTTGAAGCATAGACTTGAAAGCTTGAAACATTCTTTTTTAAGACAATGCCCATCATCAGCCAAAGTGGCATTATACCTATTGCTCATAAGTTATGTTTACTTATAATAGTGAGCTATTCTCAAACTTATGGACTCTCGGCATTTATTTGTTGAGCCTTCTATTCTCTTATTATTCTCTTGCTATCACTAGCTATTATATGTTTGTTACTAACACTCGATTTGTTTTGCTTGCCCTTATCAAGCTGTTATAAACTCTTTCTCCAAGTTGGAATCACTTTCCAATAATGTCCATATGAGCTCTAATGCTTCAACACCTTATGATACCTATAAATTTACGATTAAGATTTATATGGAAGATACTTACTCTCCCGCATGACTTATGAGTTGCTTTCATTTCAGGAATGTAATCCTTAAAAATATAGCGACGTAGAGCCATCAAATACACTAAAATGGAGTATGTTGCCATCAAATTTTAAGCATTTTGGCTATGAGATGCATGCCTTTCTTTTTTGGCAAAGTTCCTTATATTTTTCCTATCAATTTATGGTTAATGGCTTTTTTTTTTGGCTTAAATGTGATTATACTCGTTGATATCGCATTTAAAAAATCTATTTTGCCCTATCATTTATAAAACTTAATTTGTTTCACCATACATATTTTTTAGCCTTATGAAAAAATTCATTATTGCAAAAAATAATCTCAAGTTTTTACTATTTTTTAGATGTCTACTTATTTTATCAAATTGAACTTATATTTTAAGAACAAATAACGACCATTGCCAAATTGAACTCATATTCTAAGAATGAATTAGGCATCATCCTTTCTTAAAGATCTTGGTTTGATTGTCCTACCAATTTTTTTAACTTATGAGCATAAATATAATAAAAAGGAAAATAGGACAATTATGTTGTAACTCATAAAGGAATCTAATAAAATATTGATTTTCAAAGAATATAAAGAAGCTTACTACAAAAAGCTCAACAAAATAATATATTATATTTTTAATTTGTGAACCAATATGAACTAATATCTTATAACAATCCATTTAAAATTCAAATAATGAAAATAGCTATGTGTTAATCAATGTAGTCTCCATTACTTCTTGTAACATAGCCATCTCTTTATCACCCACACCATTTATTGACTTCATGTTTCTCATCATTCTATTCCATTAGTAGTTGTCAAAATATGTAGTTCAAATTCTTTTAACAAATTCACAATCATATATATAATGATCACAATAATTAATTTACATTTGTACATTGAGTTGCATATATGACCTCCTTCGGATAGTATTTTTTCAAAGATTTTATAATGTTTTCAAAATAAAACATGCTTTTTGGATTTTCCTGTCAACATTTTTTTTTAATATTTGGATCAATTAAAGTAAACTCACACACACATCACATACAAAAACTTCAAACCCAAAACCTCTTGATTGATAGCTAAAGCTCTCAACCAAAAGACAAATATGATCTACATCTATCAACATAATTTACTTGTAGTATTTTTAAATTTATGAGAGAGGAATATGCTCACGTGATTAGTAACCATGCATTATGCATTTTATTCTTTAAAGTTTGAAATGTTATTTTTAATGGTTTTTTTAATTACTAGACTGAGGAGTGAGTATTTAAGCTAAATGTGTCAGGTTGAGTGTGATTGTTAGAGTTCCATGCACTAGATATTCTCTTTAATGATTTTTAAGTAGTATTTTCTTTTAATGATCATCTAGATTGTTTATCAATTAAGCTAACATTGTAATTGTTTTGACATATTTTGAAGCTAAGGCATTGAAACATGGTAGCTTAGATATGAATGTAAGATGCTTTGATAATGCACTGAGCATTTTTTTATGAGTCTTGTTTGAAGGACTTAAATTTGTTAAATCATGTAGATATGTCATCATCATTTTTTCTTGATCAAGAACAAAAATAAAACATTGAATTGAAGGGCCTAAACAAATCTAGATATTAGAATGCCCTTAGCAAGTATTCCCTATGTTCCTCCTTTACATTTTGTGGAGATAGCAAAAAAAATCAGTGATTTAAAAGTCAGACCATACCGTTGAACCGTTTTAAGGCCGGTCTGGTTCATCTAGAAAACCATTTTTGCATCAAACAAAGCTGAACCGACTAGAACCAGTGGTTGAACCAACGAATAGGTCCCAGTTCCATTGAACTGGCTGGTTCAATTTCTGAATTATATAAACAATTAAATAAATTAATTTAATATATTAAAAATAAAATATCAAGAAATATTTATAATTTATAAATTATTTTATACTAACATGATTAATTTTTTATTAAAAAAATTCCAACTAAGCATTTCACACTACTCTATATAAATTCTTACTCATCAAAACACAATCAGTTTATAATTAAAATGATTAATTTTTTATTTAAAAAATTCAAACTAAGCATTTCACTTAGCTTCATCACTCCATGTGAATTTTTACTCATCAAAACCCAATTTATTTTTAATAAAAAATTTGAATTATTACATGATTATTTTATCATTTATATTTTATTTAAATAATTCTCATATTTATTATGTCATCCGGTTCAACCACAATTCGACCCCGTTCGAACCATTGAACCCTTAACATCTCCTTCTTCTAATTATACGCCTGATTCGATTTTCACAACCTTGAAAAAATATTTCATAAAATTAATAATAATTATTCAACTAAGCAAATGTTTGAGAAAGCAAATTTACCTTCAAAAATTATTTTTCTATTTCAATCTGATTTAAAAGTCTCAACATACAATGCCACTAAGCCAACAAGCAAAGGAAGTAGTGCAAGGTTAGCTTTCTAAAACAATTTTATGAGTTTTCTTTAATGTTTATATTTGATACGTTATCAAAAAATTATCTCGATCAACCACCTGAGGCCCTCACCTTCACCGGACCATCACCGAAGGCTCTCTCCTTCGTTGGACCACCACCTGAGGCCCTCACCTTCATCGGACCACCATCTGAGGCTCTCAGCTTTGCTAGACCATCACTTGAGGCCCTCACACTCACCGAACCACCGCCTGAGGCTCTCACATTCGATGGACCACCACCTAAGGGCTTGAATTTTGGCATGACTACCATCAACTGACGCCAGAGTTCTGCCAAGTCACTGTCATGTTAAGGCCCTCACCTTCACCGGACCACCATCGATCTGAGGCTCTCAGCTTTGCTAGACCATCACTTGAGGCCCTCACACTCACTGAACCACCGCCTGAGGCTCTCACCTTCGATGGACCACCACCTAAGGGCTTGAATTTCGCATGACTACCATCAACTGACGCCAGAGTTCTGCCAAATCACTGTCAGACTATTAACTAATGCTCCAACTTCCAAGTGACGCCAGATTTAACACTAGACTTCAACCATACGGTTGACATTTGTAATCTGATTGTCCTAAGCGACGAGTCAGCCCACGGTACTAAACTCAAATTCTAGTGAAATATTTTCAATTGGGCTAGGCCCCGTGGTTTTTCCCTTTCCAGGGTTTTTCACATAAAAATCTTGTGTTCTCTATGTGTGAGCTAGCTGGCTATCCGTGCAACACTAAGACGCAGAATTACAACTCTATCGTCACATATATTTTAGCATGCAACAATATTATACTTCAAATCTGAATGAAAGTTTTTTTTTTTTTTTGGTATATTTTGACACCTTTCAATTTAATTAGATGACATTTGGACTTTCCACCAAGACTAATGAATGGTTCAGATCTTGTTGGCAGATCTTTCAAATATTCTTTCATGGCTAAAAACATATCTAGATGCTTCATTCTGGTTCCCCCTACCCCTCTTCTTGATGCACCTCCTCCACCTATGGCTGGAGGAGCTCCCTCCCTTAGCCGTATGGCCTCCACTCCTTCTGTTCATGACTTTCTCCCATTATCAAACATGTGCCCAAGCTCCTAAGAACCTACTCATTCTTCTCTTAAGTGGAAGAATACCATCTCCTCTAGAGACTCGTCCATAAAAGACTTCCCACTTTCCTTCATTCCTTAGATGGAAGATAAATATAAAAGTAAGAGCTTAGCAGTCTGCCTCCAGCGATAAACTGCCAAGTTTGAAGAACCTTCAAGGGCGTCCTCCCTTCATAGTTGCCCTTGATGCCTGTCCATGGCATCTTAAATTGGTTTCATTATCCATTCTTTCATCTCCATAAAGTCACAACGAGTGGTTTACTTGGCATTCTCCATGTTGATAGATGGCTTTTGTTGAAGTTTGCTCGCTGACTAGAGCTTGTCTTTTTATCAGTAGCATCATTCCACGCTTATCACACTCATGAGGATGTTGGATCCAATTATATTCCTGGGTGACACCTGACTTTTCTAGCAGACTTTCCTGATGGGCTAGTGAACTGAAATCTATGTAGGAATATGGAGCAATAAGAAAACTAGAGAGGGAAAGAGAATCTATATAAAGCATGAAAAAATTTATATCTCAAAGTAGTATGGAGTACAATAGAATCAAGTCAAAAGTCTCAAACTACTTTTTATCACCTCTTATTTATAGAGTTTTGAAGGCTACATAAAAGACGACACCTAAAAAAGAGAAAAAGTACATAAATGCACAATATATCTAGGACATATGTCACCCACAATTAGTTGAGTGATAGTGGACGTTAATGAATCATGATGAGGTGTCTCTAGGTGAGCTCAATAGTAAGGGTCAACTATACGATGTTGAGTGGGAGCAGGCGAGTCTATGAGCGTATGTTGAGTAGGGTAAGCTCGGTGAATGGGTGTCGACTTGGAAATGTGTGCAGCTTGTAGTGAGACTTATGATGCCTTAGAAGGCAGAACAAGTGAGCTGAAGTGATTGAAAAAGGTGAGCTCAGTGGCTTATCTCTATAAGGAAAGTTTATAGGCCCTCGAGGTAGGCGTCTTCAGGTAGTCGGGCTTGGTAAGCTTGCATGGGAGCGATTATATGAGTGATTGAGATGGTTGACCAGGTTTGTGGAAAGTGTCGATTTACCAACTTAATGAGGAAACCCTGACCTGCCCCGTAAAAAGGGTGAGCTCCACAGTAGGCTCGGGCAAGTAGTATTTGCTGAAGATATTGAGCTAGTTCTTCTGCAGACTCCAATAAATGAGCACCTCTTAGATCGTTATACAAGTTCCAGTCAAGGTCTCTCTTGAAAGTGAGCTTTCAAATAACTTACATTTTAGTAAAATATGATTTCATCAATTGATAAATTTAAATTGAACCAACAAAATCTGTTTTTCTATAAATTAGAGAACTAATAAGACCAATTTTGTTTACAAGAATGAAAATTGATACGTCAGGCAAAAATTATCTTGATCGGGCACGAATCTCGAGGCAAAAATCAAGTTGGAAACTTCAACAATTAAATCCGGGAGCACATGAACTCCGATTTCAGTAAACTTACAGTCAAACTGAGCGTCTCGGAAATACGAACCCAGCGACACCAAATTCGACCCAATCCGAGGCCAAATGGGTCCGAATCAAGGACCCGAAGCGCTGTTGGAAGGTTCAAACCACAATTTGAGTTACCAAACGGTCTCCGATTTTAACGAGCTTATACTCGAATCTTGCGGCTCGACTAGACGAATCCAATGAGCCCAAGATCGGCAAATTCCGACATCATTAAGGCCTCCAAATGTCCAACGAATAGTGCATGATCAAAGGATTCAATATCGGCCGTCCATTCAAACCACTCCCAATTCGCCCCTGATCTCTTGCCTATTTACGGGCTATGCCACTCCAGAAAAATTATAAATAGAGCCCTCATTCTACACAAAGGGGACTGAAGTGAAGAGAGAGAATAAGAAGAGAAGAAGAGGAGAAAGGGGAAAAGGAGAATCATCTCCTCCTCGACCACCGCCGGAGTTCGTCTTGCGATGCTGAAATTCTTCTCAATTTACAACAGAGTACCCTCCTAACGCCGAAACTCCGTCTAAGTGAAGCCGGAGCTCTCCTTTGCCACCAACAGACGTCGGACTTCTACCCGACGTCGGACCTTCACTCTTCACCAAGTTTCTACCCGACGTCGGACTTCTACTGATTATCGAACTTTACTGGACGTCTATGCAAAGATGCATTTCTTTCCATTGTTGGACTGCCACCTGACGTTGTCCTTCTGATCTTCGTCGTCAGACTAAAGTCCTTCCGACCTCAGTCGGCAGCCGACTACGGTCCTCCTGATTTACGTCGCCCACCGACTACAAGTCTTCCAACCTCCGTCGCCCACCGACTACGGTCCTCCCGACCAAACGAACATGTTAATAGTGCTTCTTTGTATTTACATCATGTAATGTACTCCATAAGATGTACATCAAGCTAAGACCTTCCACCAAGGAAGGATCTCATTTGTAATCAACTACAATACTAGTGGATTCATTCAAACTGAGCTAGGCCTCGTAGTTTTTTCCCCATTTTCAGGGGTTTTCCATGTAAAAAACTTGGTGTCTCATAAATGTTAGACTCTCTCTCTTTATCTGATTGCTTGCCGGATTTTTGTACAATGCTAAGACGTTAAATCTTATATTTCTCTACCACCGCGAATACTCATGGACGTAACAGTTTGGCGCCGTCTGTGGGAACATGGTTCCTGACTGGGGGGCAACTTTTGCTCCAATCTCAAAAGATCGCTCTTATCAAATTCCTGACATCAGTCATTGTTGCATCAGATGCGGGCTGGGGGGCAACTTTGACCTCAATTCTGGTCAAAAAGATCCTCCGATGTTTTATATATCAAGATGATATTTCAGGAAAATCCCAGCGATAGCAAGGATATTTCCAATCAATTACAAGTTTTATACAGTCCCTTGTTGAATTTCTACTTCTGGACGCAACAAAAATGATCACAATGAATATGATGAAGAATAATTAATATATATATATATATAATTGATCTACATATTAAAAAAAAAGTCATCATCCTTAAACGTTTTTGGAATTAGTTCTTATGTTATAATCCCTGTGGACATCCGTACGAATATAAATCAGAGAATTTATGATACAGATTGCAGCAAAACCGGGAAGAGAGAGAGAAAATGATCAAGCTATTGCTGGTCTTCTTCTTCTTCTTCTTCTTTTATCTATCTCAAGGTCTCTTCCTATCTTTCAACTCTTCTATCCTCCCCTCTTCCTCCGCGTCCAATCCGCCGAACCCCTCCTCATCCGCCGCCTCGTCACAGCCGTCTAAAACGTTTCTAAAGGTAAAATCTTTCTATCGCCGTACTGCAAAATCCATTTCCTTTGCGCGTTCGAGGTTAAAAACCTTTTTCGCGTCCCTCAGGAAGTTCTCAATGCAGTTGCGGCAAAGAAGCACTGGGATCCGGAGGCGAATCCTAGGGTTTCGTCAGTTGAGACTGAGAGTACTATGATTGGTGCGATCGAGAGCTTCGAATTCCATCTGCGCGTCGGCGGGGCGACGCTGATCCTGAAGTTCTCCGAGGAGACTGAAGCGTGGAGGAAGGCGGATGAGGGGGAGGTGGAGTTTGGGCCGGATTTGGTGGGTCTTGATGTAGGGTCCAGGCAGGGGATCAGGAAGTTGAGACTAGAAGGCCCGCTTGAGTTGCTTGCCAGTGGAGGCGATGATGTGCTTTCGGTTCATTTGTTTTCTGTGAGTATGCTTTTTCTTTCCTCATTTTGTGAAAATTTGTAGTTTTGTATCATGATAAAAAATGCACTTTGTTCTGTGATGTGCTATTTTTTGATGCCTTAACATTGAATGCCTTAAAATTTTTTAAGTTGGTGGTTAGACTTGCTATGCTTTATGGTGCATAATATTGGCCATTAAAAGAGAAGCATAAAATTAGGTTAAGTGTTGTAGAGATGATGATGCTTAAGTGAATGAGTTGCTTTACACTTAGAGATAGAATGCGAAACAAGCATATACATTAAAAGGTTGGGTTAGCTTGAGTGGTAGATAAGAATCACCTTAGATGGTTTGTTTACATAAAACTAGGGGCGTAGCCAGAATTTTTTTCATGTGGGGGCACAAATTGTTGAATTTAAAAAAATCATCAATCTTTTCTTCCGGGCTTAGAACCGACATAGTTGATTTTAATTTGTTTTTTTAAATCATCAAACTCAACATAAAATGATAGAATATATGATAAAAGGAAAAATTTACAATTGAGAACTTTAAATCATGATATTTTTCTTACATATTATCTATAATTTCTCACGCTGAGTCTCTTCATTTAAGTTGAATGAAAATATAATTAGCAAAATTATAATATTAAAAGATATAATAAAGTGTCAAAAAGAACATAAAGTCTTAACTTGTATTGAAAAAATCCTAACTTTGCTACTAATCTTAAGTTACTTGCCTCAAAACTTTCAAATCTTATCAGGAATTTATACGACTCTAATTTATTGAAGTAAAGAAACTATGATAAGCTGACGAAATAATTTACAAATATTAACAAAAAGTATAAATTAAATTTTGTTACAAGCATGTTTGAGAGAGAGAGAGAGAGAGAGCTTGATTGAAAAAAGTGAGGTTTGAGGAGAAGCACAGGTGAGCGTAATAAGGCATAACTTTTTCTATTTAATGAAGGATTATCATAAGCCTTTTTTTTTGGAAACAATAACTAGTCTTAATTAGATACTAATTAACTGGCCAGTGAGGTCCCGTGCCCCCATAGCCCCCATGCTAAATCCGCCCAAGCATAAAACGTTGGTCGTTCGATGACCCTATTAGGAGAGTAGATGTATTAAATTTGGTCTATATTAAGAAATGTAGATGTAGACTTAAAAAGATTTGGTTAGGAAGTATTAAAAATAACATTGTAACATTGTCTTATTAGATTTAAATTAGAATTTGACTCTTACAATAGAGAAAAATGATTCATGTAGCCGATCCCACGTATTGCGATAAAGGTTTGTTGTTGTTGTTACATGCAATGCAACTGATGTTATTATTCTGTCAGGTCTACAATAGATGTTTAATTAACATGCCAATTAAATGGTTCTATTTTGATAAGTTATTAGTGGGTGTTTTCTTGCAATTCTTGTATATGTAGAATGTTCTAGGGTTTTGATTTTTAATGAAGTTATAACATGAAATCAACTGAGGCAAACAAGCTGTCAATCTTAAACTTCAATAAAAATAATAAAATATAAAATGTTAAAATCCAATTCAAGAAAAAATGGCTTTCTAATAGGATTAAAAATAATAGATTAAATTAAAGATGATGAAAGCATTTCAAGCCCTTGAAATTGTAGTAGACTTAACATAATTCAATTGCGGGATCAATTTTAGGAAATGTAATTGACCTAGTAGAATGAAATGTAATCGACCCTAAACCCTAATCGACCTAGTAGAATTCAATCATAATTCCAACCAGTTATGATCAAAGGAGAAGAGGAAGAAAAAGTGTAAATGAAAAAAAAAAGGAAGTGGTAATTAATAGGTTAACCTTATGCTCAAATTGGGAGCTTATCTCTCCTAAAAAGTTTCAAGTATCACATGGTCAAGAATAAGAATTTGACAGTAGAGCAATGGTTTCCACATCGAAACAAAGATTTCATTAACCTATAGAATTATTCTGTTACAATCCTTTAAGGACCTATTTATAAACCTCATGATATACTAAATATTATGTTGAAAGATTTAGGAGAAACCCCAATCCGTGAAGAGTAGCTACAAAACTTGCAAGGAGAAACAATAATATGTTGACGCTCAGAAAAGTGCACCAACCAACCATATGAATCAAAAGAAACCTTTACCATATGAATAGCTCCATGGAGAAGCTGGTAGGACTTGAACTAGACAGTCACAAACATTGCTTTCAACAACCATGAGTCCCACTAATCTATTGGGAAGCAGAAGCCACAAGGAAAACCACATGAAGCTACAATAACTAAGAGTGCCCCAAAAAATTCCCAGTTAAAAAGAGCAAAAAAGGCAATAAAATAGTAAGAATTATTGTGGATAAGTATAAATGCTGGCATATGATAACTTAAGAGTCCACTCAAAGGAATCGGATTGCTCAGGGAACTCAAAAAAGCCACTACATCAGTTCTCCTTGGTTTAGAGAAATTTGGCTCTAATGGATGGTGAAGTTGGTATTTTTCCAAGTTCCAACAGATCTGAATATGGCTGTTGGATTTTCTACAGTGACATACATGAAAAAACTTCATCAATAATTAGATGTATGTTTGTCTGTCGATTTCGCAAGGTGTATTTGGTATTCATTATCAATAGTGGACAGGATTTCTTAAGTAATGATAGCTTCACTAACTAGAGTTGTACGCCGATCTGAAAGTAGTGCATATTATATGTTGGGTATGAAAGATAAATGAGTGGAGTTAAAAAGAGAATTCAAAATATTGTATGTTAATCCCTGATATAAATGTAAGATATATTAAAAATTTGACAAATTGCAAAACATTTCTACATTTCTAATTTGTATTCATTTTTCCCTAAATGGTTTAATTTTATATGGTTTCTATTGTCCCATGATGGTTTAATTTTATATAATTAAGAGTTCTTACAGTTAATTTTTAAAAAGTTCCATTAGAAAATCTATCTACATTTGTATGGACTATGATTTTTTATCTCCTTAGAATTCTATAATATGTCTACATATGCAATAGGCTTATAATTTCTATGCTTAGCACCAAGCTTCCAAAAAATATTTTCATGCAAAACATTTACATGAATAACTGACAACATGATGAATTTAGTGGTAATTATGATATATTCACATACTTTCTAAGATACAATATAGCTAATTTCAAGAGTGGGAAATTGAGGACTGCTTAAAAGAGGTATTTATAATATTATGTTAAGTTTTATTTTGATAACTGACATATAAGTTTAATTCAAATCAGTCCATATCTTAGATGGATAGTCAATTTCACTAAAGAGAAGTAATCTAAATGATATAAATAAAAAATTTAACAAGTTAGTACTTTTGGTTTTAATATATAATTTTGAATATTAGGCCTTTTTGTTAACAGATATCAAGCATAATTTCACGGATATGCTGATTTAATTTGACAAGGTCAATGAGGTTCTTTATATGAATTTATAAATCAAGAGTTTGAGAACAAAAAATAAAAGCAATATTTGCTTGTTGATGAACACATCTTGATAATATCCACAAGATTCTTCAGAGTTGCATTACTTAGTTTATTCATATGATTTAATAACTTAAACATGTATGACTTTTATAGTTTGAACTTTACAGCTAAGAATAGGTTCATATTTTGATTAAAGTTTTGGTTTAGATGTGATCTTCTATTCAGTTTCAATTCCAATTTATTGCTCCTGTTCAATTTTTGGCTCAGGTGAATGATTAGGTTCTTATGGGGACTACACTGCATATTCTACTTTTGGTTATACGTCCAAATTTTGATTTTGCTTTGCATGAAAGATCATATGTAGATTCATTCTATAACTGTCACTAGCTTTTTTGCATATAATGTTTCTTTTTAAAAAAATTCTCAAAGTAAATTTTCTTCATTGTGATCAAATTTCTTTTTGGCGTGTTTTTAACAGATATTATGTGGATGTAGAAGTTTTTTTTGGTTCCTTAGAGTTATCAAGCAAAGGAGTAATAGTGTCTTGATAGCAAGAATTGAAATATCCTTCAAAATCTAAAGATCTATCTTAAGCTTTATATTTTTTCTATTGGTGAATTATAGCTCTAATAATTCTTGACGTTTTCCCTATGACTTTAAAGGAAACATTCATTGATAAACAGTGTATGATGTAGAACGGGAAAAAACGAGTTTGCTAGGGTGAGGATTTCTTCTCCGAAATCTGAGAACAATGTCAGTTTTGTTCCCCCAAAACCTGAGAGAATTCAGATTTCCTCTTCTTTGTCTTGCTTAGACCTCTTGAGATGAATAAAGGTGATGCTCTAGAGAATAATCGAAGAGAAGAAGTTTCTCTGATAATTTTGTTGGTGAGAGAGCCCAAAACCCAAACCTGAAATAAGTTTCAGGTTTCTGTGAAAGAGGAGTTTGGAGAAAACAAAGAAAAAAAAAGAACAAGACAAGGGGCAAGAGGGAGTTCGGCCAGCAGCAGAGAGGTTTGGACAATTCCTTCCAAAGTGAATTGCTATAATTGTGGAGAAATTTCCAATGGCCACTATTTTTTGCTAGTTATTTATGATTTTTTTCATTAATGCAAGTTGTCTATTTTTGAAATAAGGGACGGACACGGGCGCAAAATGAGAAAGTGGGTGGTAAAATGGGACAAATGTGAAATTTGGTACGAAATTGAGCAGCTCGTGAGCCGGTTCGAACTCGTTTATAGTAGGATGAGCTCGTCTTTTGTGCTCGACTCGAGCTCGAGCTTGCTTTCCAACTAACGACCCAAACTCGATAGTGCTAAATTCGACTCGACTCGACTCGTTTACACCCCTACTTATAATCAACACATACTTAACAACCCCAACTTCCTTTTAACCAATAAGTTTTAACCCTAGCTTCATCTCATTAGCCCTAGCCACTCCTCATCAAAGCTAGATTCTATTGGTTAATAGGAAGCTAATAAAAATATCAATTCAATAAATATTTGATGAGTTGAGAGACATATTTAAACACCTAAAAAAAGGAATAAAATGAATGCATATTAAAAATTCAAAGGATCATTTTGATTTT